CCCACCACCTCCCCACCGACCCGGTGAAGCACCTACCCACCACCTCCCCACCGAGCCGTTCGAAGCACCTACCCACCACCTCCCCAGCGAGCCGGGCGAAGCACCTCGCAACCACCTCCCAACTGAGCCGACCGAAGCACCTCCACACCGAGTCGGTTGAAGCACCTACCCACCACCTCCTCACCGAGCCGGCCAAAGCACCTACTGCAGCGGGCCTTCATCTGAGCCAGGGCCTATTTGGCTATTTGCCCAGTTCGGCCTGTGGGACCAGGTCGTGGCCTGACCCCACAGACCGTGTGCTGTTCTAGTCCTGCCCGGTACCACTGTCGGTACCAAGCCAGTCCAGTCCAGTCAGTCAGTCCGCTGGGGGTATAGCCCCAACAGTTGTCTGTTTTTCGTCATTCTTCACTTTGGCATATCTTGGAGTACGTGTGTGTGGAGTCTGCGTCGGAGCTGCGCTGTCCCTTCCAGCTCCATCTCTACCTCCTCCTTCGTCTACCCTTCTTCTCCATCCTGTCGAACCGCCATCCCGACGGGTCCGGCACACCGGTATCAGAACGGGAACGGTCCCCGCTCCAACCCGGCCTTCCCCCCCCCATGCAACAGCGGGTGCGGGATCGGTGTCATCCCGACAACGGAATTTTCAGGTGTTTTTCGGTGCGGCAGCAGAGAAAAAAGGGGAAAAAAAGCAGCAGCGGGAAGAGACTGACACGTGGCGAAAAAGGGGAGCGCCACCACACACGAGTGGACGCAAGCGCCAAGGCCGCCGCACGCGCGTGCGCCACTCGCCCACGCTGCCCCGCCCCGCTCCCGGATATATATTATCAAGATATCTGGGATGCTGCTGCTGCCAGGGTTTGAACCTGGGCACGCAGCGCTCATGCGCGTGCGTAGCCAGTGCTATAACACACTGGCCAAACTGTATGCATGGTTATGTAGTGTGGAACGTTCGTGTTGAACAGTTCCGCACCAGCTATTTACACCCCCCCCCCGCCGTCGGCGAGCAGCGAACAGCGTGCTGCGAAGCTATTTGCCCCCCCCCCGCGCACGCCATGGCTGTTGGCGCCTGCAGACGTGGCAATCTGCACTGCCACGTGGACACCTGTTGAAGACCCCCCTGCCTAGGGGGCTGCTCCACAGACATCTATTTGACGATATATATATATATATATCGTCACAAACAGAACTGCCCGGTAAACCGTAGGCAGAGAGAGAGAAGAGGACAACAAACGAGGGGCTGTGACAAACTGTTTCGTCGGAGTTTCACCGACTTATATATATATATATACTGCCCGGTAAAACCGTAGGCAGAGAGAGAGAAGAGGACAACAAACGAGGGGCTGTGACAAACTGTTTCGTCGGAGTTTCACCGACTTATATATATATATATATCATCAAATAGAACTGCCCGGTAAACCGTAGGCAGAGAGGGAGAAGAGGACAACAAACGAGGGGCTGTGACAAACTGTTTCGTCGGAGTTTCACCGACTCATCAGGAGGCTGAACCCTCAACAGTCTGCAGAATCCCCTCACTGATTACACTGTAAATGATAATCTACCTTAACCAAAATCAAAGTAGACTATCACTCACCCACACCAGATGGAAAACTCTACATATATATATATTTATTTTTTATTTTTTTTACTACTACTCACTGTTGCAGCAACAGTGTGGCAACTGATCAAGACTCCCCCCTGGCTAGGGGGCTGTGTGACTGTGGCACTAGGGTGGCTGATCAAGATCTCAGCCAACCCTAGATCATCATCATCTCATTTTGTTTTGTTGTTGCATCAGGCCACCAGCACTTTGAAGGCCAAGATCCTGTGGATCTTGGTACAACCCTGCTCTTGGCCACCCAAGAGCCTGGTATTACCTTCTACCACTGACCTAATAACCCCCAACCCCTTTCTCTTCCCCCCTCATCACCTAATCATCTTTTCCCCCCCCTACCACTACTCTCTACCCCTACCTCCCTCTCCACCCATCTTCCATAACCTTTTTCTCTCCCCTCCTCCCCACTCACCATCTCTCGCTAATTCTCTCCCATTTCACCACCCGCTTCTCCTCCTTCCCTCCCCCAACTACAACCCCATCATCTCCCCCATCCCCCACCTTACCTTTTTCTTTCTCTTCTCACTTCTTTCTCTCTTTCTTCATCACTTTTCCATCCCCCCCACACCCAACTCCGAATTTTTCTGTTTTTCTTCTTTTCTCTTTCTCTTTGATGTAAAATTTCTTTTTTCCTCCAAAAATTTGAATCATCTTATTCCCTACTTCTTTTCTTATTTTCTGATTTATTTTTTATTTATTTTATTTATTCTGAAAATTCGAAATTTTCTGCGGCACCTCTATATCTTGTTAGGACTTGGTCTTTCTTCGTTGTCGGCGCACATTTTGACCCCTTGGGGGTACCGAAGCGCTGGCCAAAATTTTCCATTCTACTTAGTCTTTTCTTGACGGCACACTTCGACCCCATGGGGGTGACGAAATGCTGCCGAAATTTTTGAAAAATTCCAAAACTTAGCTTCTCTTCATTCTCTTCCACCTCCTTATTTATTTATTTATTTACTCATTTATTTTTTTTGAAAATTTTAATCTGTGGCATTTGGAAAGTTAGTGTGTCCCTCTTGCACTTTCCTTCCTCTTGGCACATTTTTGACCCCATGCGGGGTGGGAAAATGCTGCCGAAAATTCCAAAAAAATAAATATTCTTTCTCTCCTCACTCTTTACATTTCATTTATTTAATTATTTCTATTTATTCTTTTATATTATTTTTATCTCGAAAATCCACTGTTTACTCTATTCTCCCTCCCCTCCATAGTTATTATTTTCTTTTCTTGATTAGGTTGCCGCCACCTTCCCCTAACCACCTAAACTCCGATTAGGGTTTCCTTAGGGTTTCCTTAGGGTTTTTCTAGGGTTTAGGGTTTCCCTAAACCCCCTACTCTCTACCTCCTCCCGTCGGGCACCCTGGACCCGAACGGCTCCTCCCCCCTCGACCGGATTCGCGCCACCATCTCACGCGCGACCCGCTGGTCACGGGGCGAGCCGACCCACGACTACCCACTCCCCTCTCGCGGTCCCCTCCCTCTCAACGGTGGTCCTCTGTCCCCATACCACAACCCATATCTCCCCCCACCTCCCACCACGTCTACTTCTCTCCCCCCACTGCCCACGGAGAGCGCTACACCTAAGGAGATCGTCGCGGCGCAGTCCACATTCCAGGTCACCGCGCAGTCAGCGGCTCCTGGTCAGGCGCATCTGGACACCATGGACCTTCAAGTCGCCCTTGTAGCGATCCAGGCGCAACTCAATACGCTTGGACCGTTGCAAGCACAAATCAATGCGCTTGCCCTCGACATCAACCGCCTCAAGGGCTCCCCTCATCGCTCTCCCCACCGCTCCCAGATCCCATCCCCTACCGGCTCCGATTCCGGCTCCCAAGGACTCTGGAGATGGAGTCACCAGGGTTCCCCCTCCTCTGCGGGCCAGGCCCAGCACTCCCCCTCAGCGGTGGCGAGTGTTGCTGCCGCTCAGACCACCCCGTCCGTTGCGGCAGTTCTTCTGCCCACGGCCGCCCCTACCGTCTCTACTACTGCCGTAGGTGTTGCGGTCTAGGTACCGCCATCTGGCCGCGCAGTTTCATCGACCTACCCCGGTGTTGCTTCCCAACTTTCCGCACCGGTCGCGGCAATACCGCTCCGCCCTCTTCTTCCTGCCTTCGTCCCCCCACCCCCACAGCAGGGTACCGCCCAGGCTGGGATTCCTCCTCCTACTGGGAGACCCACTCCGCCCTCTCCACCTCCAACCCCGCGCACCCAGCGAGTGGCCACTTTACAGGCCACCATTGCGCAGGCTAAGGCGGAGATTCTTGCTCTGAGACAGCCTCACCCATCACAGGCTGCCCACCCTTCTTCCTCTACCACCCCTTCGGTCCCCATGATGCATAATCGTTTCCCTCGTCCTGCTCCTCAACCTCTTCCCTCCTACCTGGCTATTCCGGGACAGCTACCCGCGGCCATTGCCTCCTCGTCTGCTGGTCCATCCGCCAGCGGCCATGGCCCACAACCTTCCCCCGCCTCTGCCCCTGCAGCGGCCTCGACTTACGCCGCCGAAGTGCACTGCCTCGATCTCTCTCCCCCTGCCATCAGCACAATGGACATCCTCCTGTGCGCACCATGGACATTCTCGAGTATGATGGCACATCCCGTGTCTCTCGCTGGTTGTAGATAGCAAGACGTACACTCTCTATGACGACCACCCGTCAAGAGTTGTGGTGCGATGTGCTCGCAACCAAATTGCGAGGTAGCCCTTCCACTGCGTGGGAGGATCATTATGCCCAGCGCCTCCGAGTGGGTGAGGTCCCCACTCTGACCAACTTCGCGGCCTTCCTTCAGGACCACTTCAGCACTCGTCATGACGCCACCGACGCCTTAGACCGCGTCACCCAGACCAGATGGTCCGGGTCCTCTGTACCGGCCGACCTGGAGCGTCACATCCGGGTGTTTCAGGACGCTCGCCTTATTTGTGACGAGATGTTTCTACCGGAGGTAACACTCACCGACCGGTTACTTGTCAGCCTGCCGACTGACTACCGCCTAGGGCTATGGAGGCGATCATTCTCTTCCGCGGAGCAGGCATAAGAGGCTGCGCGTCAGTACCAGAGGATGTGCAGTCGCTTCTCCGTCGCCCCATCCTCTTCGCGGCCAGCCGCCACCTCCCAGTCTCGGGGTACCGCCCGAGGCCGCTCCTCGTTTGCTGGTCTTTTTCGTCGCCCGGCTCGACCTGGAGCGCCATTCTCTCGGCACTACAGTTCTCTCGAGTATGGAGAGGACGCCTCAACCGAGCTCGATCCTACCATTGGGGACGCCCCCGAGGGCATCGAGCTTCGGGACGTCATCCAATACCACTTGGATGACGACACTGTCCAAATGGTCGAGCGCCTGCAGATGGCCATATCTGCCATGGGTTGTGCACGCAGTCGGGTTGCACAGGTTGGCGCCCGCACACCCACAGTTCCTCAAATAGACCTCTCGCAGGGTTTTGTCCCTCCTCGCGGAGCTCTATCCCCCGAGGAGCGTGCCGCCCTCGAGGCCCGACGCGGCTGCCTTCGTTGCCGCCAGGATGGCCACACCTCCTCACGGTGTCCATACCACACCGCCCTGGATCGGTACTACGCTGACATTTCTCGTCAGCGCCGATCTCAGTCCCCCCCCGGCCCCGACCGGCCAGCCCCACCCAGCTAGCCACGGTGCAGTGTACCACTGAGGCCTCGCATGTAGCCGGCTTCCCGACCACCGAGTCGCGGTTCGCCCCTTTGGCTACCTCAGCAGAGGATCCTCAGGATACGACAGACGCAGTTCCCTCTGCCCCGTCGTCTGTCAAGGCACCGTCTGCCCCACAGCAGATCGCCGCACCTAGTGCTTCCTCTCCGAGACTTCCGACGCGTCGCGCCATCCGCACAACCCGTTGCAGTGCTCAACTGGCGACTCGCGATGACGTTGTGTCATCTCTTCTGGATTTGAGCATTCTTCAGGCTCGTCAGGAGCGACTCACGAGACACGTAAACGTCCTGCGTCATCTTCTCGCTCTTCTCTCTGGCCCTGATCGTACACTCCCCATTATCCCTATTCGCCTAGGGACATCTACAAGGGTGTATCACGCTTTATGGGACTCTGGCTCGCAGGGAGACTTCGTTCACCCTCGCGTGGTTGAGGAAGCTCGCCTACCTACCTCTGGGTCTCGCTCTCCTATCTCCGTTACCCTCGGAGATAACAAGACGCAGCGCTTCTTCGATCAGACGGTCCCCGACCTCCACTTCTCCCTCCCCATCCAGCCATCGGATAGTACCCAGACGCCTCGGCGCTACCATTCCTCCGCATACTTCGATGTGCTGGAGATTGGGTACGACTTTATCCTTGGCACTCCCTGGTCTCACCGGTTCCGTAGCACAGAGGCCGAATGGGCGACTGAGAAACTCGTTCTCAAAACGAAGTGTGGTCAAACCCATCAAGTCCCCTTCATTGGAACCACGGACGACACCCCTCCAGACCTAACCCCCCAGGACCCTCGTCCCTCAGGGTCCCACCCAGACATCGCCTTCACTTCTCCTCGTCAGTTTGCTCACTTCATACGACAGGGGACGTCACGATTTACTCAGTGAACGTTATGGATCTTCTTCGCTACGATCCACTCTATCCCGAGGTGGAGCTCATCTCACTGGAGTCCGACCCCCCCGACCCTTCCCCTATCTCTGTGGCTCCCATCTCTACGTCCATCCGTCAGCCTGCGATACCCCCTCCACGTCCCAGGCCCCTGAGTCGTCGACTGTCAAGTTCACACATACGTCTCGTGCCGACACAGATGCTGAGGAACTCACACGGTTCACGACAGACTTAGAGCCCGCCGTCCGCGACCTGATTCGAGAGTACCGCGACATCTTCCCCCCGTATTTCTCATACAGCGGGATTCCCCCGATGTGCGGTGTTGAGCATTTTATCCAGCTCGTGCCTGACTATCGTGTTCACCATCAGGCACCGTACCGACTCTCGATTCCAGAGGCGACGGAACTCGAGCGTCAGCTTGAGGAGCTCCTTCGACTGGGTTTCATTAAACCCAGTAACTCCCCTTGGGGTGCACTTGTCCTCTTTGCTCACAAAGCGGACGGAACTCTCCGCCTCTGTATCGACTACCGCGGCCTTAACTGTTACATGGTTAAGAACAGTTATCCCATGCCCCGCGCGGATGAGTTGTTTGACCGTCTGGCAGGCAACCGCTTCTTCACGAAGATCGATCTTCGTAGCGGTTACCACCTGATCCACGTTGCCACAGAGGATCGACCGAAGACCGCCTTCCGATCGCGCTTCGGCCACTACGAGTTCACGGTGATGCCATTCGGCCTCACCAATGCACCCGCCACCTTCCAGACGCATCTTCAGGGACATCCTTGAAGAATACGTTCTCCTTTACCTGGACGACATCCTCGTCTACAGTCGTACCTTAGAAGACCATCTCAGACACCTCCGCGATGTCCTACAACGCTTACGCAAGCATGGCTTCTATGCCAAGCTCAATAAGTGCCGCTTTGCGCAGCGCAAAGTGGACTTCCTAGGACACCATGTGTCTAACCAAGGTCCCCACATGGACGACGCGAAGATCACTGCTATTGCAGAGTGGCCCGTCCCCACATCTGCCAAGCAGCTTCGCAGTTTCCTAGGCCTCACCACCTACTATAGTAATTGTATCCAGGGATACGCTAGGTATTCCTACGTCCTTACCTCTACCCTCCTCCGGAAGAACCCGCAGTGGTTTTGGACACCCCTGTCCGAGGACGCCTTTCGCGCCCTCAAGAAGGCGGTGACCTGTGCGCAGGTTCTTCGCCTTCCCAATTTTGATCGTCCCTTTATCTTCACCACCGATGCGTCAGATTTTGCAGTAGGAGCTGTCCTTTCTCAAGTGTTTCCCTCTCCTCTAGATTCACCTTACCCCCATGTTCCTCCTTTCCCCCCCCCTCCTGCTGACACTGCTTCTCGACTGACGCCTACCTAGTTTATGCTACCCGGCACTGGCGCCATTACCTGCACGGGGCGCCCTTCACAGTGCGCACGGACAACTCAGTTGTCCAAGCTTTCCTCACGAAGCCCAAGCTTTTGAAACGAACCGCGTAGCCGATGCCTTGTCCTGCTGTCCTGACCACAATCAGGAACCCATCCATCTTGCTGCCATCTCCGTCACCACTGTTGATCAGTCGGTGATCGACGCGTATCGCACTCAGTACCGCCACTTCCCCGATTATCGCGTCATCCACGCGACACTTCGGAGTGGCAAGACCGTTCCTTCCTACTCCCTCGGGGAGAACGGCCTTGTGTACTGGCATGGCAGATCTGGTCAGCTAGAACCATGTATCTGCGTTCCCTCCACTGGACAGCTCCGCGTCCAAGCTGTAGCAGAGTTGCATGACCAGGCAGCTGCTGGTCATATGGGTTTCCACAAGATGTTGGCTCGTGTTTGCCGCCTATGCGTCTGGCCGAAGTCCAAGGACTTTGTCAAAGCCTACATCCAAGAGTGTCCTACCTGCCAGGAGGTGAACAGTGCGAGCCACCTTCTGTATGGGTTACTTCAGCCCCTACCCATACCTAAGGTTCATTGGCAATCCATCTCGATGGATTTCATTGGTCCCCTCCGCCCACCCACTGAGCGAGGTCATGATGCTATCTTGGTCGTCGTCGATCGCTTCACGAAGCGTGCACGTTTTGTCTCGTGCCGCTATCGCATTAGCGCTCGTGAGGTCACCGACATCGTCTTCGACCGAGTCGTGAGAGATTGCGACTTACCTCAGAGCATCACCTCCGACCGTGACCCGCGCTTTACCAGCACATTCTGGCGACGCCTACACGAGGTGTACGGATCCCAGCTCCGCTTTACCAGCACATTCTCGTCTTACCACCCTCATACAGATGGTCAGACTGAGGTCACCAATAAAACTCTCGGTAATATCCTCCGAAAGTTTGTTAGGGATGACCAGCAGTGAGACTTACACTTAGCCCACGCGAAGATTGTGTACAACCACGCTGTTTCGCCTACCACGAGGACGTCGCCATTCTATTGCAACCTCGGCTACCACCCTCGCGTACCCGCGGATTTCCTACGACCCTGGCGGTTGCGCCCAGACACTCGTTGCCCTGCGCTTGACGACTGGATCGCCCACATGGCGGCGATTATGAAGCACGCACACGAGAGTATAGCCGACTCCCAGACTCGCATGGCCGCACGAGCGAACCGATCACGAATGGATCATCCATTCAAAGTCGGTGACGATGTGCTCGTCGACGCACGCCACTTACAGCTCGAAGCAGATACGCTTCGCAAGTTCAGGCGTCGTTTCTTCGGTCCATGCCGCATCCTTCAGGCCGTCGGTTCTGATACTGCCGCTAGTCCGGTCAGCTTCCGTGTGAAGCTACCTGATTACCTCCGACAGGCTCGCGTACACGATGTTTACCACGTCTCCTTGCTGCGTCCTTATCGCAGACCGTCCGAGCGCTTCGCCGGACGCCCTTATGAGCGCCCTCCACCTATCATGGTGGATGGTCACGAGGAGTTCGTTGTTTCCGACATCATATCACGCCGAGTTACCGACGATACCCCTCCACGCATCAAGTAACTTGCGCGTTGGAAGGGCTACCCTGATGAGGAGGCTACTTGGGAGCCCCTCGAGCACTTGCAGCACACCAAGATGTTGGTGCGTGCATATGATCGTGCTCGTCGTGCTGAGACATCTGCTTCTACTCAGCCGACTGACCCCCTTCCTCCTCCTCCGACTGAGGAGATTGCTGAGGACGAGCCCACTCCCTCTGAGGCCGTTCCTAGGGAGAGCCAAACTCAAAGAGACCCAGCTAAGTGAGAACCATCATGCAACAGAGGCAAGGGAGTATACAGGGTAGGGTGGTGACGTGAAGTAGTCACGTCCAAAGTAGTTGAAGTCGTCGAAGTGGTCGATGACGTCGATGACGTAGCAGTGGAGTCGATGTCGAAGCAGAGCCGCAAAACGCCGACATCCTGAAGAAGAGATGATGATGGAGTACCTGATGGTGTGAGTCGGTGGGGAAAGACAGAGGATAAGAGTGTCAGTCATCGTAACGCGAAGGGCGACGATAAGTGCGCGGTCGCCTCCGAGCATCCACATCGCACTTATCGTCGCCCTTCGCGTTACAATGACTGACACTCTTATCCTCTATCTTTCCCCACTGACTCACACCATCAGGTACTCCATCATCATCTCTTCTTCAAGATGTCAGCGTTTTGCGGCTCTGCTTCGACATCGACTCCATTGCTACTTCATCGACGTCATCGACCACTTCGACGACTTCAGCTACTTTGGATGTGACTACTTCACGTCACCACCCTACCCTACATACTCCCTTGCCTCTATCGCATGATGGTTCTCACTTAGCTGGGTCTCTTTGTATTTGGCTCTCCCTTGGTATCGCATAGGCATGGGGACCGTAGCGTTATCTTGGCTTCCTTGCTCCCAGATCTAGCTCCCTCTCCCAGTCGGTGAGTCGTGTGCATGTTTCCCTCACCCACTGCCCTCATCACCCTAGCGCCGGCTATTGCATGCCACCAGTTCGGCATAGCTCCACCCTATTCCACGCTCCCCTTTTCATGGTCGACCCTACATGGTGTCACCTTTTGTCGAGCATTACCCGCCTTGATGGTCTATCTGTTAGGGTCATTGGTTTTGTTTCGCTACCACTCTCCCACCTTGAGCCTTATGACCTATCCCACCTTCATGTGTGACTTCCCTTAGGAGTTTCAATTCTTAGGCTGCATTCACCCCCTCTGAGAACATCCCACTCTTAGTGGTTTGGCGACATGACATTATCTTGTGACATATTGCTCTTTTCCTTTCAGCACTGAGGTCACTGCCTCCAAGACTTTAGGATTGTATCATACTACAATTCATTTTCTGTTGTTAGTTAGGATATGGATACCAGACATTTGCTCTTCTTTTGACATTATGTAGCTTAGGATGCATCGCATGCACTCCGCATGGAGATTGCTCCACAGCCTAGATTTCTCTGCTTTCTTTATTGCAGGGTTCCGCTCCTTTTGCGGATTGCGTGTTTATGTCTCTTGCGATCCATTACAGGTTTGAGGATCGTGCAGCGGGCCTTCATCTGCCCTGGCCTACAGCCAGGCCCTATTTGGCTATTTGCCGAGTTCGGCCTCTGGGACCAGGTCGTGGCCTGACCCCACAAACCGTGTGTTGTTCTAGTCCAGCCCGGTACCACTATCGGTACCTGGCCAGTCCAGTCCAGTCAATCAATCCGCTGTGGGTATACCCCAACAGCTGTCTGTTTTTAATCATTCTTCACTTTGGCAGATCTTGGAGTACGTGCGTGTGGACTCTGCGTCGGAGTTGCGTTGTCCCTTCCATCTCCATCTCTACCTCCTCCTTCGTCTACCCTTCTTCTCCATCCTCTCGGACCGCCATCCCGGCGGGTCCGGCACACCTACCCACCACCTCCCCACCGAGGCGGCCGAAGAATGAAGCACCTACCCACCTCCTACCGAGCCTGCCGAAGCACCTCCCCACCGACGCGGTCGAAGCACCTACCCACCACCTCCCCACGAAGCCGGTTGAAGCACCTACTCACTACCACCCGACCGAGCGGGCCGAAGCACCTACCCACCACCTCCCCACCGAGCCGCCCAAAGCACCTACCCACCACCTCCCCACCGAGTCGACCAAAGCACCTACCCACCACCTCCCCACCGAGCCGGCCGAAGCACCT